TTGTATTTTCCGAAAGTACAAAAATCATTGCATCCCCCCTTTAAGTTGTCTAATGCTTTAAGACAATAAAAATATTTTAAAACTTTTCATTCTCAGGTTTAATAATTAACTAAAAAAAATTGGAAATCACGTGGTCGTGGCGTGATTGGGCACCGGAACCGATTGCTCCAAGCTTCCACCGTGCATTTTAAGCACACCGTGAAACCTCTCATTCACAAGTGATAATAAGCTCCATCACGGAAATCATTTGCCACAAACGCGAATACAAATATTGGTCGAAGGATATATTGCTACGACCGAGCGACGCTCTGTTCGTGTCCAATACGTGAGCTGGGTTTGGCTGACGTGCTTAGGCACGGCGTACGTAGCACGGTGAAAAGGTTTCGAAGGAATGGTGGCGCAAAATAGTCAGCTATATTTTCATAATCTCGTACCGAAACGGAGGCTTTTGACATTCTAACAACTTTCTTTTGGTCCACGAGATGACATGCGCTTAGAAAAATCCAACTTTCAAATCTCTGCTCAAAATTAATTTTATGTTCCCTTTAAAACATCGGCTTGACATGCTCTAACCAGAAGCGTTTGTAGCTATGAGCGTGCCTCCATTTAAGCTTGCAGTCGATCAGAAATAAAGCAAGGGGTGAAGCAGCTGATGCGGATTGTACAATGTGGCACACGGAGGGTATTTAATGTGAAAAAAGGTGGGCAGGCACATTGATTCTTTCTTCCAAAGAACACTGGCTGCATCTAGAGGATTGCATTGCGGTGTGAGAGTCCGGAAAAACATAAAAGCTCACGTTTTAGTGTCTTCACAGCTACCGTTTCGCGAACCTTGCCGATCCAAGCGTATGCTCGATGAACAACAGCGAAGGCTCCTTGTCCTATAACTTCCTCAATGTGGACGGACTCGTAGGGGAGTTCGTATGGGTCGGACGACTTCTTCAGCACCTGTAAGGCTTTCTTCTTCAGCTCCACGAATTCAGGTGGCGGAGCTGGGTTCTTGGTGGTTGATGTGCTGCCGAAGTACGCCTGGAAATGTGTCTTCTTTAACACACAAAACGTGCAGACTTAACACGAACTGAACGTGAAAGCACATATCTCAGTTCTCTTAAAAAGCCTCTGAAAAGGAAAAAAAAAATTTTCTTTTTGAACAGTCTGGTTTGGACACGCCTGTCAAAAAATAAATTTTACTAAAAAAATATTAGAGCAATAGTGACGGCGAGAGATTTATTTGAAAATCTTCGCGCAAAGTTCATGACGTCACGGGTCATTCCGGAATGACCATCACGGGCATTCGCTCTTTCCACCTCAACGTGAAGGCAGAGCCGATGCACCTCTGCTCCACGCGCCCGAAATGCCGAGAGAGAAAACAAGTGGAAAGGAGGTGACTACCGACTAAATCGCGTCTCTCGCCGTCAGTATTGCTCTAATTTTTTTTTTTCGCGTAATATTAATTTTTTGATACGCGTGTCCCACCCAGACATTAGATTTTTTTTTCAAGGGCACTTTAAAGATGTTCTGCATCATGTGAATTGGATAGGGGTCAATCGTATTTTATGTTACAACACGGGTCTAAAACTCATTTGAGTGTGGGGTCTATGTGGGCCACCCACCGGGGAGGGGGGGATATATTGTTATTTTGCGACAAAAAAAAGAGCATTGATATTTCATGTTGTAACGGAGCCAACTCTCAACGACAACATATTCCCTCAAGAAAATAGCTCGTGCTATCTGTTTCTTTTTTTTTTTTATGCACGCCGTTTTGCTACTAACACCTTTTAAGTTTTGATTTGCACATAGATCAACGGGCCGACCCTTCATGAGATAACAAAATTTAAAACACCAACGTGCCGGCAGTTTTACATAGAACAAGAGCAAGCACACTGTCGTTGCCTCGTCGCAAAATGTACCTAACTCAACAGAAATGAAAACAATTACAGAAGGACGCTTACGCCCTTTAGGTGTGGAACGCTATAGCTAAGCATATAAAGCCCCGCTTGTTCCCAAGCCTCGCAAGCGTGTCTGCGTCGCCTACTCAGTGGCATGTCTGCCTCGCAGCCAAAGGGTCGTGGGTGCGAATCCTGCCTAAAATTCTTGAATTTTTTCTTTAGAACAAATGAATTACTCTATAAAGTGAAATCATTTGAAACATACATTGACCTTTAATTCGCCTTACAGCTCATGTTTTTAATTATTTTCATTCCATGCGTGACGTCACGTTTCACCGAGCGTTGTGAATTGTTTAAAGTTCCCACGCGAGATCATGTAACTGGGACGTCACGATCCCATCCACCAATCAGGATTTTCCCGTTACGATAACATCATCGATTTTTTAGCAATTAACGCTGTCGCGTTAATAATGTATCTTAATATGGGAGTTTTCGCTTCCCTAGCGATTTTTATATTAGCAGCAATATAACAAGATACTCGTGTTTTAAAATTTTCTGACGTCGGAAAGTCCGGGTTCAGAGCTTTATCTTTGTAACAAGTGGAATTGTGTAGTTTGTTTGCAACCGAAAGCTAGTAATCCCCAATTGGCGTCTTGTGACCCAGCTGTAGATAAGAAATTAAACCAGTAAACTAAAACAGCTAGTCAGTGGTTTTTGACGTTCACCACGCAGTATTGATACATGACCGCGTGCCCGTACAGTTCTCATTCAGGTCGAAACGGGCGGGGCGGGGATTGAGCACAGGATACCTAGGTTCTGCAGCGCGAGCATTCGCTCCACGTGCTCCTAGCTGGTGTGCGCTAGCCCATGTAAATACCGATCCTCCTGCTTTATCTTTGACAGTCACTCCTGCTGGGTGAGGTTTTGTGCAGCCGAGCTGTCTCCTTGAGCAAAAAGCTCGCGCTTCCAGTCTATGGGTGGTATTGTCATTTCGACTGATTTACTCGAGAAAGGGCTGAGAAGCAAATAACACGACAAACCAATACTCGGTTCTAAAAAGAATACTGCAAAAGCGTTTAACAGGTTATATGAGCAGATCTCTTTTCAAGCGGTAATGAAGCGACGATATGAAACTATAATTTATGGTGCATGTAGTGCTCGAGGGATAGGAACGGGAGCCCGCAGCCGCAGGATGCTTGTGGGCTGCGTCCGTGAGAGTCGCGGCAGCGTGTTTTACCACCCCTGTCTTACAACAACAAAAAGCCTCACCTCTCGCGATAGTTTTTCCAGTTGACGACGCCGCCTTCGGAAGACGCGCCAAGTTGCCAAAACAGCTGTCAATGATACCATGGCAATAGAAGCTCCAATGATCCAAAACCAGGTTCCGGACATCTCGTCGCTATCTGCAAACAGTAGTTCGCTGCAATGCATGTTCCATTTACATCTTAATGTTCTATAGTACAGCCTACGGCACTTACCTTGAACAAGATATTCCGTCACAGCTGGTGGGCCCACCCCTGCCGGGCTTTGAGCTCGTACGGACACCCTGTAGCGAACGCTTTCCTGCACTTCGCCGATATTCAGTACTTGCGTGTCCTTAAAAGACAGGGTACATGTCCATCGATTTTCTCATTACTATTAAAATGAATTTTGCGCTACGTGCTGAACAGCTGCACCATATTAATTTTTCTTATATGTTCTTGACGACAGTAACAAAAAGATTATATCAAAGAAGCACCAAAATTTCTGGTCATCTGCGCTCTGCACTCAATGAGATATCGGCGTTTGAAGACAGAAAACTCCGTAGAGCTTATCCCAAATCAACAAGTGTGATCAGAAAACACTTCCACCGTTCCTTTAACTGGCGCCAACTTTAGCATCACAACGTGAACACATTAGACTACATTTTTGAGCACATTAACTACTCTGGTGACGTAAGCTGATTATACGCCTAGTGCGCTGATTGGGACTGAATAATAGCCAGCAGTGAATTATTTGTTGTTTGTCTTTCTGGTCTAATAGGCTTACGTTTAATACAAGCAAAAATATTTTTTCCGTCAAAAGTTTTTATTCATTTCGTAATATTTATTTGTTATTACGTAGAGGGGTTGCCATGAGGCAGAAATGATTTAGATGAATAATTTTACTAGGCCTGCGGAATACATTAATTGAATCAATGTTTTGTGATTTACGTTGTCATACAGCCACTTATGGTAGCTGGGTGGTGCAGTGTGCCGGAGACCTGCAGCTATAAGTCTGCGAGTTCGCTCACTTAGTAGGCAAGTACAAGATGACGCATATTCACTTCAGTCGCGTCTATAGAACACTTGGGGCATATCGCCCTTCGTGTACCCGGTGGTGAGCTCCAGGTGCAGCCTACAGCCGGTGTAAGATTCATTTCATAATCGTTCCTTCATGTAACTTTAAAAGCTGAATACTCTTTCTTTTTGAAATCAGTGTTCGGTGTTTACTGGTAACTATAAAGGAGAATCTGATCGATGTTTCTCAACCAGTAATAATGATCAAGCAGCTTACCCCATCCACGCTGCGTACAATCCTTTGAGATCTGATCGGTTTTGTTTCTAAGTGGAACAGGTCTTCCATCACAGAGACCTGGTACTGCAGCACCTTGTTCGCAGGTGAGGCATGAGCGGGAGGCGACCACACGACCAGTACTCCTGCCGACGACTGATCGGTAGAAGGACTCCTAGCTTTTCTCACTTTGAGCTGACTTGGCGGTCCTGGAGCTGGGGAGACGGAAGATTACGAATTTTTAGCGTATACAAAAGAATACAAATAAATGGTGCGCAGAGCTTTCGATTGAAGGGGGCCAGTGAAACACCAATGCGCGGCACTGAAGCCACGCGTCTGCGAAAGGGTGCCGGCGACGCAGCGCGCGCGCAAACGTTTCATATCGCGCAAATATTCTTTTTTTTTTGCGCACGTGGAACACGCATACACCTGGGAAGGGCAAGCGCCAACTCGTTCATAAAAAAAAAAAAAAATGTTGGTATATATGTTGTTGCAATCTGTATCTTTGACGCCGTTCGAGGATTTCTCATTAAAGTAAGCTATTGTCATTAAAAAAAAAAGTATATTCACTTTTGTTATTCATCCCAAATATACAAGTACACAGTATACATTCCCCGCACTTTGAGCTATAACACGAATAAAAAAAAAAAACGTAATTGAATTTTTAGGCCTGGGGTTTGTGAACACTTACCGCAAAGACTAAAGTTGAAGTGATAGCAGTCCAGACAGCTTGGCGTGAGAAACGAAGTTGTTGCTGGCAGGCTTTTCTTTTCTCCCAGGGTGTCGGTGGCTCGGATGTGAAGGTCGTAGTTTGTGCTGAAGGCTAGCTGACCCATATCAAAGCTGAACAAGTCGTACGGCTGAAAGAGAGAGGTGATTGTTTTAAAAGTAGAGTATACACTCAGGTGTTTGCGACTAAAGGTCTCGCAGCTGTGATAATTACAAGTAATTTATTTTCCTTCAAGGAAGAGTAGGCAGTGTTCAGAAGGTTGACACTCTATAATATGTTGCAGTGTATTTCACAAACAGTTTTAATGTGAAGGAAGTCGTGTTCTATCAAAATGCAGCTTAAGATTTAAATGATCAAGTATTAAAGCTCGTGGTGACTGTAATTTCACTGAAACACAATCTAGGAGACGCGTGTAGTTCTGGTATTACGCAATATTTCTTTCTAATAAAGTGCATTCTCACAAACACCACGGACACTACATCACAGCTAGACTAGGCTGGTTTCCAATGATACCGCATAAAACTCGATAAAATGCTCCTACATCTCTTCGTATACGAGCAAGCTAAATCAAGAAACTCACAGAAACGTATTAGCTAAATTGTGAGCTTAAACGCGCTTCCGTATTATGCTTAGGGTGGCTTACTTTCTTGTAGTACTGGATAGCTGCAGCAAGTGATAACATCACCAATACAAATAATGAATATGATCGAAAATGGGGTAGAAACACCGGGTCAAAGGTGTAAGTTCAAATCTTGAGACTCACAAGCTCGTGTGTTTAATAAAGGAAGAAGCATCGTGCCGCTGATTGGCTTGAGCTTCGGTGCGTCGATAACTAGATGCACTTTTTTTCTTCTTTTGTAAGACAAATACGCATTATATCTTAACTCGCCAGTGTTAACATCTAATAATACAGCCGGTTACACTTATATATATACGTGTATATACGTGTATTATACTTGCCTTTGATACTCTGAAATGTGCTGACGGTACGGTTCCTTTATCCGGCAGAAGATCTATGACGTAGTTGCAGGACGGTACGTCTAAGAACGACAGGTTGCCACTTTATTATAACACTTGAACCAGTTATTTATTATTACTGATATTCGAATTTTTTGACCCCTTTGCTACAAGGCAACGACAGAACTCTATCGTCAGGGGTGACCAAGGTAGAGCCAGCCGGCAACAGCCAGGCGTCGCCGGCAGAGCGAGAGTCCACGGTTATACCCTCTTTCGTTGTAACTCGGCAAAGGGTGGACGATAAGCCCCACATTGCGTGCCAAAGGATTCGAAATGCCTCACATATAAGAGCGCAACGCACACATATTGGTGCATATGATGACGCAGCGAAAAGCCTGATACTTGTTCGGAGAAGAGGCGCCCTCAGTGATACGCAGTTACGTTCCCATTGGCCCACCAGGGCCGTAGCTTCTGCTGTACTGGAACGTTACGCGATCATGACTTCCTGGGATACCCAGTATTTCTTGCTTCAGACACTAGGAGAAGTGGCGCCGCCAGTGTAAAAGCTCACGCTTGAACAGCGCAGCCGCCACTCCCAGAGATACCCAATATTTCTTGCTTCGGTTGCTAGACAGCGCCAAACCAAACAGCATTTTAGGTTGCCTGTATGCTATTCATGTTAGGTGTGATAAAACGAGAACTCTTCGAGCTATAACAAAAGAAACAGCGATCGCGTCGTATACACTAGAGCACGGTGCCTGTGGTACGACGCGGTGGGGCTCCACCGACATCGTAGAAGCCCTGTCAAATCGGAAGCAAGTCCTCGCCGTTTGTGTCGTGATTGCTTGCGTGCCCACCGCCACCGGCGCTACGACAAAAGGGACCAAATCAAGCAGCGCCAAATCATATCCTCATGGCGCTCAACTTTTTTTAGCGCTTACCACCACCCACTGTAAACTAACACCTCACAATAAATCCGCCATCAACCCGTGCTGTTCTTCGTCACGTGATTGGTCTAGCCATAGACAGTAAACTGAGAAACACATCTGGCACCGTGACCATGCAATATTGGTGGTGTTATATTCGCTTTATTGCACGGTAACGTCGGCGGCGGCGACGGTGGCCGGACACAAAGTGTAACAGAATATATAGACACTCCCAGAAGTCGGAAGCGGTGAGAGCGTTCCACATATTGCGCGCTGCAACTGCAAGCGATACGAGAGCTGGGCCCACTAACTACGTGAACGATAGTTTCCTCCATTTCATAAATTTAGTTAAACTTTTTCCTGCGCAAAGAACCTCACCTGATTCCTGGTAAGACCACGAGAGCCTCGAGGTGATTGAGTACCCAGATGCGGAAGACTTGGTCACTCTCACGTCATCTGGGGCTTTCAGATTATCTGGGGCAAAGTCATGGACGACAGTTGTTACGCTGTTTCATTGCGGGGTATAAATAACGCGCACAGACGTTACTCGAAAAGTCGGAGTATAAGCTGGCGCAGCTAAATTTTTAACGCAGGCTCCATCTCACACTTTGGTGCGGGATAATCGTGAGTTGTAGTGAATCGTTTTAAATACTCCGATACCGATACCAGATACTCCGCCGATGCATTTTCGCGCGCATTCGTTGTATGGTTATTGGGTAACGTTATTGTAGGCATCGGAAAGATCTACAAAAGCTTTCGACTCTGGCACCAGAATTTCCGGTTGTCCGTAGATGCGAGTTGAAACATGATTGCACTTTTAAAGTTCCCTTGCGTCTACTTCCCCTCTGAGCACTCGCAGAGCCAATCATGGCGATCTACGAAGAAAGCACAGCGAATGAAGAATCCCAAGAGATCTTCAAGATCCAAAAACTGAAGGTTGCGGTTCCGAAACTGTGCAAGTCGTTTCGCGTGCTTACGGTGTGCTCAATTTTGTAAATAGGGTTTTCCAAGCGAAACTTCTGTTGTAAAACAATCTCTGAAAAAATGACGCCTGTACACACAAAAAGATCGAACTTTCACCAAACGTACACTGATCAGGTCAGCCTTACAGTGTTAAATTTCAAAACGTAGTTCTCGCACCTATCGGTAGATGGAGAACCAGTAATTCGTGTCGCTAACCCGGTCATCTGCGAAAGCTCCGCCGTTGCTTTGGCAAGTTTATTTTTAGGCGCGAAGCTCCTTAAGGAGTATTCACACGAGGGAGAAATCTTTCTCCCCGGCACGCGCGCATCACGAGATAAAAACGCGAGGCTTTTGCACATCGCAAAGCCTGACGTTTTCGTCGTGGGATGCGCGTGCCGGGGAGAAATCCCCGGGATTTCTCCCTCGTGTGAATACCCCTTTAAAGGGGTACTCCGGCGATTTTTGAGCTACCTCAACTAACTATATTTTCTGACTCCCGGGCCTTTACCCTTTCTGGTATGCTATTTAGTATCGTGAAATTCATAATAGTTATTGCGAAATCGGCAAATGAAAATGATGCAAAAACCAACATTCAAATATACCCGCCCTTTTCAGTGCCGTGACGTCAGTGGCAGGCAAGCTTGCCAGTCAGGCGAGCAGTCTAAAAAACAGAATATGCCAATCATTTGTTCCGTGCTGGAGCGCGGGGACTAGAGCGAGCTTCCAAAGCATTCATTTGACTCCATGAAACTGCTTCGAATCAGTTGGGAACAAATTCTACAGTCCAAAGAGTGAACCCCTGCACTTCCACTGACGTCACTTTTTCGTTGTTGCCAGTAGAGACTTTCAGTTTGAAAAACACGGTGAGGACCAAAATTGTAAATCCAATAACTTCGTGAAAAAACATTATTTTGACCTAATACTTGGGATACTATTTTGGCGATGTTGTTTGGCAAGTTTAGCAAAATTTCAAGCAAATCGTTGAGCATGAAGAAATCGGCGGAGTACCCCTTTATGGGGTATCCACACGAAGGAGAAATCCGCCACTTCCCTCCGCAGAGCGCGCATCACGTGAGTCATACGTCGTCCCTTTTTGACGCCTCGCGGCGCCATTCTCCTCCGTGGCGGAGGCGCGGAGGCTTCGTGCTGTGAGCACGAAAGCTCCGCAGGTGCACGCGGCGGAGCCGGGGACGGAGTTTCCCGGGTTGTTGATGTCACGGCATCCGTCCGCTGAGTTCTCCTTCGTGTGGATACCCCTTTAGGGGCTAGCCACGTCCGTACGTCCGTCCGCCGTCGGGTGCACGTGCTCCTCCTGCTCGTGAGCTCACGCGCTCACGTGCTCACAACCACGTAAGCACGTGCTCTCGTGCTTGTGTAGGGCAAAAAAAAAAGAAACGCATCTCTACGTGGTGAATGATGTTGTTTTGGGGCGAAGCTCTGGTGGTGCTTGTCTGCGTAGACGGTGAGCCGCAGCATGCCGAGCCTTTCGTTCGTTTTCATCCATTCCATGTCAGAAAGAAAATTGTGTGGTATGGAACGTGGTTATATAGGTATTTGAGCATTTGACCGCAGCGTGACATGGATGAAAACGAACGAAAGGCTCGGCTAGGGTGCCTTCATGTGCGCTTTGCTTAGGGTGGTGGCATCTCGCCATTTTGTCCCCCTCGTTTATTTCTACTTTTTGTTCAGAAGCGCGTGAAAGAGCGTGACCCTGCACGCGTTTGTGGCGTTGACTGAACTATGGCGACATTTTGTATTCGTTGATTTCTTTGTATTTTCCCGTAAGCACGTGCTGTCGGCATCGGGTACTACAAAGAGTGGCATCACCCTAAACAGAAGGACATTGAGGCACCCTAGGCTTGGCATGCTGCGGCTCAGCGTCGACGCAAACAAGCACCACCAGAGCTTCGCCCCAATCAACATAATTCACCACGTGGAGATGCCGTTGTTTCTTACTCTTATTTTGCAAGGAGTGAAAACTGCGCCTTGAATTTTTACACGCTAAACCTGATCTGCCGAGAGCACATTTGGTGAACGTATGCGCTTTCATTGTCTAGGCGCAGACTTTTTTCGGCTCGTTTTACAGCGGAAGGGCCGCTTGGGGCACCCTATTTATAACGACCACTTAAAGAAGTAGGGGTGTGGTGAACTTTGAGTAAATTATTATTGTTCCAAAGCCCCTAACTAAGATTACAGAATTGAACCATAGAACGAATCACAAAGCAAGGAGTGGGAAGAAATGCGTTTCTTAATTTTTGCCAATGATAATAGCAAGCTTCATTTTCGTTGTCACTGAGAGCTTAAGCAGACGATGAACCTAGAATGTTTTTTGTTTTTTTTACCTGGTTAGGACAAGCGTGTTTCGAAATGAATGCTCGTCAAGAAAAAAAATTTTTGGTCAATATTTATATGTTACATCAGAATATTTTCATTTGCCGACGATACTGAAATTGCACTTCAGCGTGATGCTGATGGTCGTGCTTGTACCAAACTAGTGTGCGCTCTGAGTTCGCTGGCCCTCAGAGCGCACACTACTTGGGAACAAACGCTATCATTATCCTCCCCCAGGTGTACTATGTTGGTTTCAACCCCAAATGAAAAGCAATCATTATCTAGCATAAATATTGGGCAAGGATTTTTTTCTCCCCGAAGATTCATTTTGAGACTTGCCGATCCTAGCCAGGTAGGATTTTTTGTCGTACGTTTAGTGTCCCATTACGGGCACCAATGCGTTGCTTATCATTTTCACGCCTCTTGCTTCGTGAATTGTACTTTGGCACTCTTATCGTCGTATGCCAACCTCATTGGCTGGCCGAGGTTGGTTGCGATTCCGAAGTCGTTCTGATTTTGACCACTTCTAGAGAAGATACAACAAAAAAGAAGGAAATCGCATCAAGGCAATTGAAGGTTAATATGATCAGCAGTAATAATAAAAAATTGTGTTTTTCAATAAAGCGGATTTAAAATATCGATACATCACATTTTTGACAATATTTGAGATATTATTTTAAATATTACTTGAAAATAAAATACATCGAACTTATTTCTGTCGCTAGACCATGTATAGGACTGCACTCGCATAATACTTGGTAAGCGACAAATATAACTCATCAGTTACAAGGTTCTGAACATGCCACCGGATTGTCAAAGAGACTATATGTCTGTCATTTTTTACCTCAGTAAAGAAAATACACAAGAATTTTTTTAATTAAAAAGTAGTCGGCATGACACACAAGCACACAAGAAATTAGTGTGGGTTTTGTGTGCTTTCCATATTTGTACCAGCGTACAGAACTGGGTAGAAAAATCACGGAGTAAAAAAACAGATTCTAACCCTGCTCCAATTAAGGTGTTTTTGCGAAGCCAAAATATTTTAAAGACATTTTGAAAAGCGGTTTTGTTTTTTACAAAACAAAAGGCAATTGCATATCTTCTTTTTGATCGAAAGACCTACCCCGACAATCGTGTTCTATTAGTAAATCAAACCTCCAAAGAAGAATATTAGGCTACGTGACATAAAGTCATGTGACATCATTTTGATGCTCAGTTGAGCGGGGAAACTGAATTGCTGTTAAGGTCATGTGACGTCAATTTTCCCGCTTAATCTGGAAGGGAAACTAGCTCAATTCGTGTATAGATCACGTGACATCAAGTAATGTGACGCCGTTTTCCCCGCGAAATTTAGCGAGGAGAATAAACGGCCATAAACCTACACCTCAAAGTGGCCTAAAGATCCTAAGAGAGCTGATTGGTTTAAAAAGCCGCTTTAAAAAAAAAAAAAAAAAAAAAAAAAAACTCATCTCCACGTGGTGAATGATGTTGACTGGGGCGAAGCTCTGGTGGTCCTTGTCTGCGTAGACGCTGAGCCGCAGCATGCCGAGCCTTTCGTTCGTTTTCATCCATGTCACGCTGTGGTCATATGCTCAAATGCGTATATAACCACGTTCCATACCACACATTCTCTTTCTGACATGGATGAAAACGAACGGAAGGCTCGGCATGCTGCGGCTCACCGTCTACGCAGACAAGCACCACCAGAGCTTCGCCCCAATCAACATCATTCACCTCGTAAAGATGCGGGTTTTTTTTTTTTTTTTTTTTTTTTTTTTTTGCCCTACACGAGCCCTGGAGCACGTACTCACGTGCTCATGAGAGCGAGCACCCGACGCCGGACATCGGACGAACCTACGAACATGGCTAGCCCCTGGGTATTCACACGAGGGAGGAATCCCGGGGATTTCTCCACGGCACGCGCATCCAGCGACGAAAGCGTCAGGCTTTGTGATGTGCAAAAGCCTCGCGTTTTCGTCTCGTGCTGCGCGTGTGCCGGAGAGAAATCCCCGGAATTTCTCCCTCGTGTGATTACCCCTTAAGGAGCTTCGCCCCTGAAATTAACGAAAAAAGACTGTATTCGCTGTGGCAAAGAGCATGACGCTTCACCGTGCTGAGAATACCATAGCACAGAGAGTTTTTTCCTCGGTCTAACTTATAATCCCTGTCATTCGCCGACCAGTAGATTGCAGCGATTTGTTCTTACACGTGAACTGCAGGCGAGCAGACGCTACATATTTCTTAAAGTGCAGAGCACAGGAAGCGGCCATTGGAAAGATCTTTTTTCCTCGACGTGCATGAAAAAGAACTCACCCTCACTTGATACGGTCCATGGAGTGGTCAGAGGCCTACCCTTCGGTCCCAGACGAGTGACTGCCGTCACCCTAAATTGGTGTCGCTCCCGGGACAGATTTGTGATCGGCACAAGGCCGTGTCTCCCCTAAAACATACATTAGTGTGTACGACCAGGTTTGCCGTAAGTTATACATATCACATTGAAACGATAGTATTCGCAGCTCCAGCGCCCTATAAGATGGCGGGGTGGTAGATCCAAGATAGCAAAAGAGACGGGGATAGATTCTCCAAGATTTCCCATGTCCCTTGCTTGCTGGCGCTGGGCAGCGTGTTAAATGAATTATAATGGCTACAAAAACAAAGTTGTCAGGGCAGGTGCATTTCACAGGTAACGGAGATGTTAACATCTGTTAAGAAAATGACCATGTTGATTAAAAAAAAACTTTCTGAACCGAACACAATTTCTATCTTAACGCACTCGTCTTTTTTCGCTAAAACTGTACGATACGCGAATACGCCGACCAGAAGCATCCAGTAGGAGCCAGACATGTACAAGTTACTTAAAAAAGTAATTAAGTTAAGTTACTGAGTATTGACGTAAAAGTAATTTGAGTATAGTAGAAGTTACTCAAATGGAAGGTAATTGACGAAAGCACTAATTATTGTAAAAAGTGACAAACTACTTCTGAAGTTACTTTTATTTTTTATGGTAAAAATAAAGTACATAAGTTTTGATCTGTTAGCGAAATTATGCTAGCCAAATATGAATCGGCTTTTTTTTTTTCACAGAAATGCTTTAATAGCTGGTTCCGCTTGTGCGTGCCTAATTGTTTTGTACTTTCTGGTTTGTTTGATCAATGATGTGCTACGAATGTACCATTTCTAAAATGAGGTTTAGCACTGCCTGAGCTTGATTTTTTAGTAAGTGTTTGCTTCTTTACAGTGTTGTGTAAAGTACACTCTAAAAAAAGGGGGTGTAGACGTTACACCCCTTGTCACAAATACGACACCCCAAAACGTCAGTTGGATGTATAGCGCACTGACGTTGTACCGACGCTATCAAATTTCACGAACGGCTTGATAGCCGAGTTGTGCAGCTCATTAAAACAGTTAATGTAAGTGTGACTCACTGAAAAAAAAAGTTATCGGGGTTTTCTAGGCTCAACTGCAAAACCTGTGTGTTTGTTTCCTGTAGACTTTGGTACGTACTTTAGCTGTTTAATAAGTTATACCGCACCGTCATCAACCCTCTCGCAAAAGTTGGGGCAGTCAGTTCGACGTCAGCGCGCTGTACGCCGAACTGAAGTTTTGGGGTGTCCTATATGTGACAAGGAGTGTAACGTCTACGCCCCCTTTTTTAGATTCTACATCTAAAAGTACTTTAAGTAAAGTACAAAGTAAATGAGAGGTTATGTACTTCAAGTAAATTAGTAAGTACAGCGGGTGCAATTTACTGGAAGTAACGTACTTCAAATACAATATATTTCAAGGTGAAGTACAAGTAATTTTAACACAATCCTTCATGATGCCCTTTCATTTAGTATACAGTGTTTTTTTTTCTTTAGACTGGTATGCATTGCTCCAGGGGTAATCGGAGGTGCATCAGTTTTTTACGGAGATGGCAGCAAATATTGTATAAAGTCAAGTCGCCACAGGGTAGTCGTTTACTCTCGCTGACAATTAGCTACTTAACACAATCAACTTGTAAGGCACTTATTTGCGTCGGTCTTATGGCCGCCATTACTTCACTCAGAGAAATGACCAGATGACGTCACAGAAGAGCGCGTTTTCACATGGCGATACGCCATTTTTCGTTTTCAAAATTCGGGGAATGTACATTGAAGTCGGGCGTTTTGCTTTACTCGGAAAGTAGAAGTACATGCCCAGAAAATGTACTTCAAGTAAAGTACAAGTTTTCTAAACAGTAGTACTTTGAGCACCATGTAATTAGAGCACTTCCCAATACTGCTTGTTGATTATTTTTTATATGAAAAACTTGGAGGAATTACCGGACTATAGTTCGCACCCGGTGTGTGGTCCGCAGGGGGAAATTAGGGGTCAAAAATAAAAGATTTTGCTTAGGTAGTCCGCAACCGGTGCATAGCCCGCACCCGGTGTATAGTCCGCACCTGGTGCTTTGTCAGCACGAATCTCTACTCATAGACGGCACACGTTTACAAATGTCTGCTTTTTAGCTCACAATAAAGCCTATAATGTGCATAAATCATCATTAACATACACTTTCGTGCACAAAATTCGTCACGTTTCGTCATAATAAACGATCTTGAAAAACATAATTCCTGTGTAGTAAGCACGCGTAGATAGTCCGCACAGCCAGAAATTTTAACTTTTAAACATGTATAGTCCGCGGACTATAGCCCGGAAAATACGGTACTAAGGTTTCTCGAACGATCTTCAAATCTTCGAATATCTGCGTATTTTGAGTTTTGGGAGGAAAGGCAACGCAAAAGGTCCCCTTTGGATAGTCCTTTAGCACTCGATTCTTCGAGAACAGCACAAACTGCGGGAGCACCACGTGAGCTTCAGAGCAGGTGCTTCATTTTATTGCCTCCTTTGAGTGAGGATGCAGTGCGTGCAGATGCTGTTTTGGGCGAGAGTTTCTGCGTGGGGTAGAAGCGGGGACCAGCCCTTTCTTCAAATGGGTCAAGTCTCGTTGAGCTTCGGGCCACAAAGAAACGCCAGTCTTCGGTGCCAATCGCACAGTTACTCGGCCTTTCTTGCCTCGTGTTTGTTCGCTCCCCGCAGCAGTGTTGTTGCAGAGGAAGGCTCGCCAAAATATTTGGAAGTTTCGGGCTCTCCAGACCATTTTCTTGCCCCCCCGCCCCTCCTTTTCCTACGCCGCATGCTTCCCCTTTTTTGCAAATATCAGCTAATCTTCCATCATCTTATCTCTTTTGTGCAGGAATGTTTGTTGATAGGCAAAACAACCACTAAAATTGCAAAGTACTTTGTAGTTTGAGTAAAAGTTACTCAGAAAAAGTAAAAGTAAACTACTAATTACCGAAACAAAAATGTAATTGAAAGTTACTAAACTACTCAGAAAAGTAGTTAAACAACAGTAACTTGAGTAGAGTAGTTGAACTACGTACAAGTCTGGTATGAGCACAAGTATAGTGAACTAGAACGGATGAGTGCTATTTCTGAAGGTGCAGATGTGAAGGAAAAAAATTATTAGAGGGCCCTACGAGGGAACTGGCTTTGATTTCCATAAACAAGGCCTAAACGAGCGCTACAATATAAGCTCTTGACCAAACGCGTAGGTAATTTTAACACACAATGTACTTTGTCAGCCGTTTTCATTAAAAAAAGCTGCGTTCCAAACGCCACGCTTGACCGGCACAAAGGTCAAGGTCACAAAAAATAGAGCCCCGGGTTATAGCAAAATGATTTGTTGGCCTAGTTGGTTCTATTTGTTCTAGAACCTAGACGTCAGGCGTCATGTCAAAACATAACGTCACCGCGACCTGACATGTCGTCCCAATACCATGCGACATCACGACGTCTTGACGTCAACGTCGCCGTCGAAAAACTCGCGTTACACAACATCAAGACTGCGTTCTGACGTCATATCGTGTTTACAATGACGTCAATGTCTACGTTAAAGTTGACGACGACAACGATGACGTCACGCGACGTCAAGACGACGGCATCCTTGTCGTTCACGCGACGACATAAAGACGCTTGATGACGGGTGGTTGACGTCTTGTCGACATGACGTAATTCGACGTCACGACGAAGTCCCGACAACTTCACGACGTTGACGTCCTCGTCGACGACGACGACGATACACGACGTCAAGACTGTCGTGACGGCGCTTCGACGTTGATGTTGGCGAAGGCGACGACGTCAACGATTCGTCGTGACGTCGTTGCGACGTCGCGTTGACGATGACGTCATGAGATGTCGGGACGACATTAACGTGACGGCGAGGTCACGCGACGTCAGTACGACGTTAACTTGACGTCATAGCAACGTTTGACGTTGCATGGGGCGTCGACGTCAACGTCGACGACCGCCTTATAATGGCGACGACGTCGCGTAACGGTGTTATCCACAACGTGACGCGATGTCACGACCGCGTTAGAACGGCTACTTCATGTCGCGTAACGGCTTCGACCTCGACGCGACATGACGTCATGAAGGCGAACGATGACGACGACGTCACGACAAAAATCCAATCGAACCAACCCATTTCGATCGCAGTGCCACCACGCCAACTCTCCACATTCTTGACTTCAACCATGGTGCATGGAACGCGTCTCCGACTGGTGTGTATACCGCGTCCAAAAACGTGGCAGCTCGATTTTCGCGTAATGACGTCATAAAAGTGTCATCCTGTCGCCGACCGCGATCCTGGCGGTATCACAGCAGCGGTGGTGGATGCGGCAGACGCCTGTTCTGCTGCAGGTCGCCCTCTAGCGTAACAGTCCACGAAAGCTCCGGCAGTCAGAAGTTGAGACGTTGCTATGACAGCGAAACTGGCGTTCGCTCGTGCTTTTTGCCAGCATTTCTACGACCAAGAGCCAGGATCGCGACACGCAACAACGTGACACTCCAGCTTCTGTGACGCCATTTATTGCCACTTCAGAAACATTTTGTGGTATGGACGCTAAACACACCAGTCGAAGACGCGCTCTAAGCACCATGCTTGAATTGAAAGACGAATAAGTGGAGAGCTCGCCTCATTTAATCATTTCTGGTTCACTGTAGCTAAAGTGGAGGCAGCACCAAGCCCATTGTCCCTGCCAGCGTCTCCCGTGCCGTTCCCGCACCTCTGGTTCTTCGCTCGCCGAGGACAGGACGAGTGGTGGTGTGGAGTTGGTGGTGTGGAGTTGTAACTAGTTGGCATTCCAGAGACGCCATATTGTGGGACGTTGTTCACAGCGTATTCTCGGAACTAAACTCATATATCGTTTTACAAGAAAAACGATCCTGGTTAAGGATAAGACTGTAATGGCGCAGGAGAGCTGGTGTAGATTTACTATCTTCTTGACCACCAAAGACTGTGTGGAGATCTAGAAGTACCAAAAGTGGAAGATACAGGAAAAGAGAAACGGAAGGCGTTGTCTCAAACTCAGCTGGAAGTTTATTTAGTAACCCTTTTATAAATACCGAGACCTCAAGCTTCGCCAGCTTATCACCGCATTAATAAAAACTAAACTTCAGGTCCAAAGCCCAACAATAGACATGCCATTTTTTCCGGATTTGTCGTCGTCCTAGTACACACAAACATTCTTGCCTTATCTGCCGGCAGTCCAAGCTTCTAGAGACACAAAGATCCTTTTACCACCTTTTGAACTGTGACCGAACGTGCTAAACAGACGACCGATAAATACCCCTGCTTGTGTGGGTCTTTTCGCTTTAAAGGGAGCTGCATTTTTTTTTTCATGCAATTTTGTTTATTGGTTGTTTGCTCAACACGTTCAGTCAGGATTCAAAAGGTGGTTGGGGCTTATTCGTGCCTGAACACTCTAAAAAAAGCCGGTAAGTTTGCTTTCCCGCACAACACCCGGAGAGCCAATCACTGCAACTTACGGAGGCAGCTCAGCGAATGACAATGCCGAAACATATGTTTAGACCAAAAAACGCCGTCTGAGTTGTGACATTAAGCAATGCAAGCGTGACGTTTTGCATTGCTCATTGTCACAACTCAGACTGCGTTTTCTGGTCTAAACAGAGGTTTTGGCATCGCCATTCGCTGAGCTGCCTCCGTAAGTTGCGCTGATTGGTTCTCCGAGTTTTGTGCGTGAAAGTGGACGCACAGACGTTTTTTAGAGTGTAGAAGCTTGGACAGCGAGAGATAGGGCAAGAGTTCTTGCTGTACTTGGACGATGTCAAATCAAGGATATAGGTCATGTCTAGAGTTCCGTGTTTTCGGAGGAATTAAAAAAAATCGGAAAAACACTCGCCGTTAAATTTTTTGTCAGTTCCGATTTATCCCAAAAATCTGAATTTCGAGGTCAGAGCGACAAAATAAACAGCAAAGAAGACGGAGCTCTACAATTGGGTAAGGCTAACCCTTTGAATTGGACGTCCACTTGCGACACCTAGTCAGTCTCAGAGTCCATGACCGCACACACTATCGCCACGATGCAGCAGCGTGCCGTCGCACACTGAGGAAGCATCGCGACTCTGACACCTCCCCTTCTACAGTCCGTTTCACTAAAACCGTGCAGTACAGCCAAAGCTACGGGGTAGAGTGTGTACGCCAACCTTGTCCAAGAAGAGGGGAAGGAGGAACAGGAGAGAAAAGCTGGATTTCCCCTTTCTTCCTTTCCCTCCTTCTTGAGCAGGTCAGGATACACTCTTTCCCCTGTAGCTTTGGCTGTACTGCACGGTTTTAGTCAGGCGGAGTATAGCTAGCCACCGTACCCTGGCTGCGCCTGTACAGAAGTGTTATGGAAGATAGGAAGCTTGCGATCGAAGTGAAGCCTCTTATGTTGCAGCCCTATACAAACTTGCACGGGCCCGACTGGTTCCCGTGGATGTGGGCTTGACAGGTTTGCGTTTGCATGTGCTTGCCCGCACGTGCAAAGAAATGGCGGTAGCCAGATGCCCTGCTGGCGATTTCGTGTGACGATTGCTATTTTGAAATATGACGTAGTTGTGTTGGGCGACGAAAACTAAATTGTTTAAGTATAACTACTATAAAAATATCGCAAAATAATATCAAAAATTGATAGAAACCTCTTAATTCTAGCCGCTTCGCATAGGCAAATAACCTGACTTGCATTTCGCCCCAACTCAGTGACGTCAAAATTCAACATGGCGGCCGCCATGAAAACAAAAAGGTTTATAGATGAAAATAATCTGTTCTGCAACCTTACATTTAAGGCCATCAGGCTGCCCAAAAAAGCTAGCAACTATGTCTGTCATGCGTAAAGCCCAGCAGCAGGGGTGCGTTTTCTTTTATCTAACAATGCAAGGATAAAAGAAAATGTGTTTAATTTGATTAGTATCCTTGTAATTTTTGTTTGTTCAAAAAGTGAGTAAGATGTAAACAATACCGTCATGTAAAAACTGAGAAAACGGAAAAGGTCTGCAGTTTTCATATCAATGGCATAAAATAACTACTACAAACGATCAGGTTCGGACAGATTTTAAACAAAAAATCATTAGAATTTAACAACATTGTGCTTATGCGCGGTACCAGTTTAACTGTCAATATTTCATGTTTCACAAGCACAGATGTGAGAATACCGCAAACAAGTCTCGCTACCGGGCTCGAACCAACGGTGTCAAAGGAAGTTGATTATTTTATAGTAATAAATCTATCTAGCCTCTTTGGTGCTTAGACCGCAGCCTTTAATTCAGTAAGTTGAGAAACCCCCTTACCGTTCCCAGTGTCGTCCACGCATCAGCGTCGTTACTGGCCATGAGTTCTGTTCGCATCTGCACCACGAAAGCGACTGGTAGTGGGTACCTCAATATTTCTGATGTTGTGGCATTCACAAGGTTCCACTGAAGAGTGACACCTCGTATCTGGGGGCCCACCAAACTGTTGCACATCGTCCTGGGTGACGTCATGATCCAACTCTTTCCTACATCATTCTCGTCTGCTGCAAGTAGTCGGGATATGACAATCGTGCAAGATTAATAAAGTAATAAAACTTTTATCCATGTAATAAGTGTCCAAGCCATAATTAGAGGAAATGCTGCCACGCAAGTTCATTGCAGTTATAAAGATGAAAGACCAACTATTAAGCATGAAACATGGTTTGTTGTTTTAATTGGTAAAACCATTTGGCCCAAAAGTATTTTTTTACATTTACACAAAACATTAAAATGTTAACTAACCTGTTTTTTTTTTTAACTTTAATATCGCATCCGCAATGTGAATATAGGCTTAATCTATGCCAGCTTCCGTATTCCTGCTCATTTTAAAATGAACCGTGACACCGTGCTCAAACACACCAAACAAAAAAGCACGTTTATATATTTTTGTGCTTCTCACATTATCGACCAAACTTCTCACTTTCCGATTCCCTGCGGTATGATAAGGAATCACTGAATGGTATGCAAGTTTCATGGTTAGTGCTCCTTTAATTTATTTAGCAAGAAATGCGAGATATTTCTTTAAACATTTGTCAAGCTTCAATGAGGTCGTCAAATAGGCTAGAAGATCAGCAAAACGGGTCGATTATAGCTTTCTTACTAATCACTAGGGGCTTCCTCAAAGTAGAAGCCATATGCGCAATGAACATCTTACCTGAATCGGTTACTCTCAAACCTTTGCAGATGTCGACACATCGTTTCGAGTTCTGATTGAAGAAAAACGTGCGTATAATGTTATGAACATAGATTATTATATGCTAACGAGTAGCGCTAGTCTAGGTAGCATGTTATACAAATAATATAGTTATAAAATTATCACATTCTAAAATATAGCGCTTGTGAAGGTGGATCGTTGCCACTTCGACAGGGCAACCCTGTATGTAATTTCGAAAACTCACGCAAGCCTTGTTGCACGGGTCAACGTTCAGCGGCACCTCCGCACAGCCTTTAATGCACTGTAAAATCAATAGAGCCGAAAGAAAAACAATATATATATATATATATATATATATATATATATATATATATATATATATATATATATATATATATATATATATATATATATATTATGGGTCTCATGAATCGAGGTTCTCGAAATACAACGAACCGGAAAAATCGGAGACTGCTCACAACGAGATCATGATTCTGTCTAATATAGCCCATACCACTTTACGTGATCCTGGGTCTGAATATCCTCGACACTTTCAACGGTGAGCGCCAACGCAAACTACCGAGCCGCAATGAGTCGCACTTGTTGCGCTATCTGCTGGCAGGTGTAGCAAGCAGACATCGGCGTCGTTTTCTCCGGACCAAGTGGGTGCTGCGCCTCTCGGCAGATGGCGCCGCAGGTACAACACTAGCGGAACTTTCTGCATTGCAACTAGGGGTGTCGCGAACCGGCCGAGGTTCGAGGTCGACCAGGTTCGACTTTTTCGAACTTTTCGTGGAAATCGACGAACCTTGTGTTGAGGTTCGACTCGCGTGCGCATGCGCGACATGCTGGCCAGTTGGCTTCGGATTGGATGGTAATGGCTAAGGGATGAAGCAAGGGCACCGTAGATTGGTTATTTCAGTTAATAGAGTGCAAAAAAATTAAATTATTAACATCTTCAGTGATTAGAATTGGTTTCTTTTAATTGCAACTGTTCATAAAATAAAATAACCCTTTGCATAAAAATAAATTCTCCAAACCTAGACATGCGTGTATCAAGGTCTGGCCACACTGTCCGCAAAGTCGAACCGGTCGAATTTGGTGAAAAGTTTCGAAGGTTCGTCGACCGGTTCGACCCAGTCGAAACCCGAAAGTTCGACCTAAAAATCCGGTTCGACAAAAGTTCGCGACACCCCTAATTGCAACTAGCCGTTGAATACGATAAATGATCGGATTCAGTGTTGCTAGATGGTGAAATTCGTCACCAGATATTGGAAATCTGGGGCAGCTTTTCAGCCTTGGTTGTTCTGGTTTTTGATCCACATCACCACATCTGGAAAACCTTTGGCAAAAATTCCTCTTCACCCGGAGCAACTGAAAGTGTCGCCGGTGTTACATAATTTAAAGTAGCCGGAGCTTGGTGGCGCAATCTTCCATCTGATTAAAGTAAAATAAAAAAAAGCCACGGTGTAAAGGGGTCTATGCAAAAGACAATTTTACAAAAAAATCAAACAGCCAAGCAGTAAATATAATGGTCAAACGACAGGCGGTCAATGACATTTCGACCGATCCGATGGTGGCGATATTTTTGCCAGTCCTTTCGAGATCACCGTTTTTACTCTACCTGGACGTATTAGTTCCAGAAACACCAACATATGATGTCTTCTTTAGAGCGCAGCTCTAAGGCGCCCATTTCCGGCTTGAGCGGCGTCTCCGTCGTCGTCGCCGTCGGCGTAACTGCGCGTTGCATTATGGGACGTTTCCCATATTGACGAGTGACGTCATGACCACGAGGCCACTTCACGAGTGACGTCACGAAGGTCACTCGTGAAGGTCACGACGTTCACGAGGGCTTCACGAGTGACGTCACAAGGGTCTCGAGTGACGTCACGAGAGAGGTCACGAGGGTCACTCGTGAAAATCGTGACCTTCACGAGGGCTTCACGAGTGACGTCACAAGGGTCACGAGTGACGTCGCGAGAGAGGGAGGGGGAGAGAGGGGGAATTAGAGGGAGGAGGAAGGTAGGAGAATGAAAAGGAGGGAGGAGGAGGATGAAGCAGGGGCAGATGGAGTAGGAGGGGGAGGTGGAGGAGAATGAGAGGACGGGAGGAGGAAGAGGGTCATACCTTCCTCTCCGAACCTCCCTTTTTCCTTCTCAAAAGCTGCGCTCTAATTCGGCATTACAGGGAATTATAAACGTCTTATTTTTTATCTGACAACCAAATGTGGCAAAGCTATCATGCGCAGATCACAAGCTGGAAAGCAGTTTTTTTTTTTTTTTTTTTTTTTTTTTTTTTTTTGAGGTCGAGTTGCGAAAGCAGCATGGTTGACTTTCGCGATGCGCTGCCTCGTTTTGTTTAGATGCGCAGCACGTTGAGCACTGTGCATTTCTCTGGAACGGTTTTGGACAATTTCTGTTCTATTTAATGTGCGTATTCTGAATGCGATTGCTTGGTTTCTTTTAGACTTTCTTATACTAATTTCAGTTTCGGATCAAATCTGGAAACATTTTGCCGTGCGTCTGCTATAGCTACCACTTTCGCATCTTTCAACGCTGCTAAGATTATAAATTTCATTGGGTGAAATACACCTCAAAGTAAATGTTAGCCCGTTACGTACAACCTCTGATCGAGCCTGGGAAACAAAATTACTCACCATGTTACATACGCTTGTGTCGCACCTAGGAGGAATGAGAAATCTCTCAGGTGGATCATCTTCGACGTTGGTAGGAGCGTCCATGAACTATAATAAAAAAGAGGAAAAAAGGAATAAGTAATAACACTGTAAGAGAAAAGGAATTTAATTAAAACGAAAAAAAGGAATCTATTTTGCGTACAGATCGATTTTTAACCATCTCCGCCTGAAGGCTTCGCTATTGAAAGGGTTGTAAATAAAACTTAACGTTCAAAGAATTTGCAGATTGTGTGTTTTACAATGTGTAGCTTGAAAAAAAAAAATTAAAAAACAAACACGACTCTTTTTTTTTAATCTCTATTCCGTTGCGTACTAGCAGAGCAAATAATGGGAATATTTCGCGATTTACAGCCGCGAGTGGCAGTCATGGGAACTAAGGCGTGACGTCAACCCGGGTGCTTTATAATACGCAGTCAAGATGTGCCTTTATCTGCTTAATAGGAAGCTACGTTTCCTCAATTTCCCTTTTTCAAAATGGAAAAACAAAATGCCTGATAAGTTTCATATCCTCAACGCAATAGTATTATACACAGTAAGGCCCCTATATACTGAAAGGTAGAGCAAACCATTGTCTCAAATGAGGACGAGAGATTCCTACTCGCCCATGTCCATTCTCTCTCAAATGTATCCTTCCCTCGCTTCAATTGAATTCGGTGCGCGTGACCGTTACCTTCACATCATCCCGCGCGATTCAGTGGCCTACTTTGAACTAGCGCCATTTTCGTGCGGGGTGTGGTGGTTTCTCTATTGCTTGTGGGCCGCCGGTAGGTTATTTTATTGTATTTTATTTTTCGTACCACAACCTCGGGAGCAGTGCGATGCCATTTGGCTGCGCTGTGGATTGTATTAACAGCATTGCGAAAGGGAATAAGCTTTTTATCGTCCCGACGGGAACAGAAAACCTTCAACGACGAAGACAATGTCCCCACCGGATCGATCGGAAAAGTTTCGACTGCTTCCGACAGAGATAAGTGTATTTGATGTGTAGAAAAATGCACGAGGCGCGTAAATAGCACACGCCGCATATTCCTCCGTACGCATGTGCACAGTTGCAGGCAGAATTCGATATTTGTAAAATGTGTACGTAGCAAACCAAGTTACTGATTTTGCAAAACGATATGTAAGGCTAAAAATTACCTAAAAGTACTGTGTTCGCATGTGTTTCTGTCTATTTCATTTGCCTAACTCTAGCGACGCCTAGTCTGCAAATGCACTTCGTTCAAGATTCTAGGAGGGTTTAGTGAAGTTTACGACCAGGATCGTGATCCTTGCGGGCGCGTGCTCAATCTATGCTCAGAGCAAGTGAACGAAGTACAAGCACGAGCTAGGCGGTGCTCCTGGCCACCGTGCTCCTGGCTTGGAAACATCACGCAGGAAGAGGTGCATTTTTAGCGCGAGTGCTCGTCCAGCGGAAGAATGCTTCAATGCAGCTCCTCGAGCTCACGTGTTTGTGGCATTGGCTGCAATCTGATCTTAAAGGCTGGTTCACACACCCCCGTTTTCTTACCTTGCGTTACGAATGATAAAGGTCGGTTCGCACAGGGGCGCTTTCCTACGTTACTTTAGGTTACGACAGCTTACGACCGCTTAAGTCGCGAGTCACCTAGACATTCCTGCCTCGGA